AAAGGAAAAAACAAATCGCGAAAAAAAAAAGAAAAATGGGCTAATGGGCCGGGAGGCCCGGGAGCAGCTGACGCGCGCGCACCAACTAGCAATGCCCGCGGCAGGCGTGCAGCCGCGCGCGAGCGGAGTGGATCGGTTTCGAGGGATGCAGCTCGGTTTGGCTAGGGTTAGGGGCGGCACGGATTGAAGAAGGAGGTGATGCGGGTGAGCAAGAGCGGCGCAACGGCGGTGCGGTGGAGGCGGGGTAGGAGGAGGTCTCGCTCGTTAAGCCGCCTCCACGGCTTCCCCCTTGCGCAGCAACCAAGGCAGCGTCGAAGTCGGAGTTAGCATCAGAGGCAGCGGTGGCGGCAGCGCAGGTGGAAGGAAGCGGCGGAGCGAGCGGGAACGGGGAGGATAGCACCGACGAGCGGCATGGGGAGGCGGAGGGAAGAGGCGCGCGACGTGAGGAGGGCGGCACAGGCGTGAGGAGGGCGGCGCAGGCGGAGGGAAGCGTCCGAGAGAGCGGTGGTTTGTGGGTTTTCTCTTTTTTTTTTCTTTTTCTTTCTCCCAGACGATGTGGGTTCGGTTTGTGGAGACGTGATAAGGAGTTGGTCCAGGTGGCTGGGTGGGTTGGATCCAGGATTGTAGGATTGGAAGATTGCATGATTGTGGATGAACTTGTACTTTTTATATTAGTATAGATGGAGTGGAAAAATCTCATCCCCTTGCTAACCAAACCAACGCGAGCACTAGCCATCAGTAGGCCCACTAGCTAATCAGCGCAAACGCCCTACTTCTCGATCTAGCGCGCATTTCTGGCCCACTTCGTTGTGTTTTATTCTGGCCCACCAGCGAGGAAGTGAGAGGAAACGCTGATTAGCGCGTAAACGCTAACGACCAATGCACACGTGACACGTGTTAGGTTTAGTCTTTTTTTCTGTCGTTACTTTTCTTTAGGAAAACGCTCATTTTTTTCTTCCACGATTATTTAAATTTTGTCACCGCATGCATCTTTTTTTCGTGATATTTTATAAATTGATTTTTTTCATCTTCAATGTCCATTGAAAGTTTTTAAGATTTGAGTTGAATTTTTGAATTTTGAGATGAAAGTTTTCAAATTTGACTTGAATGTTTTGAATTTTGAGATGAAAGTTTCAAATCTCGAGTTGAAAGTTTTAAATCTCGAGATAAAAGTTTTCAAATCTGAGTAGAAAGTTTTAAATCTTGAGTTGAAACTTTTCAAATCTGGGTTAAAAGTTTTCAAAGTTGAGTTGAAAGTTTTCAAATCTAACTTGATAGTTTTTAAATCAAGATTTGAAAGTTTTAACATCAGAGTTGAATTTTTTAAAAAAAATTAAGTTGAAAATATTCAAATATTGACTTAAAAATTTTTAAATCTAATTTTAAATCTAAACTTGAAAGTTTTCAAATTTTAGTTGAAAAATTTTCAAATCGTAAATAAATATGAGTTAAAAGTTTGTTTCAGACAAAAGAAAATAAGAATGAAACTTATGCATGGCAGTTTTTTATCAAAAAAAATGAGTGTGGGTTTTCTTATCCAAAATTAAGCGCTATTAGTCCTGCGAAACGCGCGGCGCCTCGATTCATGTCACGCACACGCGAGGTAGGAACCCCCAAGAGAAATTAAGATGATTAGTGTTGATATCCTCGCCACGGGAAGCTCACTGATGTGATACGAAGGAGGTTAGTGCCAATGACACTGACACTGTCACCGAGAACCTACTCATAAGAAATAATGTTTACATTTTAACCTTTTTGAAAAAAAAAATACGAATAGATCCTCGGCACCAGTGTCATTGGCACCGACCCCTTCACTGAATTAGCTTCTATAAGAGGTGAGGGTGTCAGCGCCCGCATTATTAGTGCAGAGATATTGGACCTCCACGCCAACATCACCATGAGTAAAAAAAGATTTATTTTTAGAATAAGTTTTTCCAGATGTGCATTTATAAACTAAGTTTTTATAACAAGTACTAAAATGAATAAAAGTCCAGCTGACCCAGGACCCTGAGAAAATTGGGCTTTGAGATGGGCCTTACTTCCTAAAGCCCGTGGAAACCTCAAGCAGGTCCGTGGCATTTCTCTTTTTCTTTTTCTATTTTTATAAATAACTAGCAAAAATATCCGTGCGTTGCAACGGGTGAAAAGTTCTAATGATAATATACATTTTTCATGCATAATCATGTCAATGACAATGTTTGTATTTTAACGAGCGACTTGTCTTTCTATAAACGATTTTTTTTCTTGTGCGATTTTCTCAAACCATTTTTAAAAAATGGCGCATTTCTTTCTAACAGATTTTTCCTAGCATGTTCTTTTTGTTTTTTTACTGACGACGAAAACCATATTTTTCTCCCTTTTTTGCTTTTCTTTTCTCGTGTGTTTTTTGCATGTTTTTTCTGACAATTATTTTCTCGTGCGTTTTTTGCTTGTTTTTTTCGAATGTTCTTTTTTGTTTTTTCCAATACAGGAGAATATATGACGAAATAAAAACCGTGTAATAGATGACAAAAAAAATGGATGGATCCTATCCAGCTCAAGCGTCCATCAATTTAGCGTTTTTTCGACAGATTTTTCAGAGCGATTTGTTTTTTAATAGATGATGTTTTTTTCTTATACGGTTTTTTCAAACCATTTTTTAGAAATGGTGCGTTTTTTCTGACAGTTTTTTCCTCGCATGTTTTTTTTAAAAAAATTTCCGATGTTTTTTTAAAAAAATTCTGATGAAATAAAACCGTGTAGTAGATGACAAAAAATGGATGGATCCTATCCGGCTCAAGCGTCCATCAATTTAGCTTTTTTTTTCTTACAGATTTTTCAGAGCGATTTGTTTTTCAATAGACGATGTTTTTTTCTTGCACGGTTTTTTCAAACCATTTTTTAGAAATGGCGTGTTTTTTCTGACAGTTTTTTCCTCGTATTTTTTTAAGTAATTTTTTTACCGACGATGGAAATAATTATTGTTGCGTGTTTTTTTTTATGGAAAATGGAAAACCTTTTTAGCGTGTTTTTTTGCGCTTTTTTCTAACTTTTCTCACACGTTTCTTTGAACCTTTTTATTGTCGTGCATTTTCTCTTTTTAAATAGTTAGATTAGATTAGACATAGCAAAGAAATATATACTGATTAGAAATCGGAATTTGGTTCGCTCTTTTCATTTTTATCTCGCGCGTATTATTTATTTTATACGAACCAGCTTTTTATTTTTTACGAACCATTTTTTTCTTCTTAGAGAATCGGATGAACTTTTTAGATGTTTTTTGGGATTTTTTTTATCTTTATAGCAATCAGACCTTTTTTTTCCTTTTTAAAGGAATCAGATATAGCATTTTTTTCACCATTTTTTTTTGCCTTTTATAGGAATCGGATCTACGGTTTTTTTCCACTTAGGAGAAACGGACTTTTGTTGTTGTTGTTGTTTTTCTTTCTTTTTCTTTATTTTCTTTTATTGTGCGGTTTTTCTTTTTCTTTTTATGCACCTTTCTGCCTTTATTCTTCCCCTTTTATTATTTTTTAATAAAAACGACCTTAATATCTTATTTCAAACTTATAGGGACTCAAATGTAAATATAAAAATTATAGGGACTTAAATGCAAAAGTACAGATCCAAAAATTAAAATCATATAAAAATGGAATGCTCTCGACGATAGGTTTCGTTTTTACATACAGATCTTTAATCCGGCACATTAATTTTATTTTTCATTTTTAAGGGTGATTTGGATAAGAGTCGGACTTTTTTTTTTGAGAAAATCCCTTATATACCCCTGAAATTTTTACTAATCCCTTCTATACCCCTGAATTTTGCTTACTTCCTTATATACCCCCAAAATTTGATTTTGATCCCTTGCATACCCCTCCCGTCAGTTGACCGTTAGTTGACCGTGTATTTTCTATAAAAATGACCATTTTACCCTTGGATGAACAAAGAAATTCATGAATTACATTATTAAAAATATAAAAGCTTCTCGCATGAGACTATTATAGTTATGAGTTTGTTGTGCGATGCATTATTTATCCCAAAAAAATATTTTTAGATAATGAAATAAAAAAAATACGTATTTATTTTTTAAAAAAAAGGTCATAAAAATGAGGAGCATTCATATAAAGATAGGTATACCAATGTTCACAACATTTTTTTTTATGAATGCTCCTGATAAAAAAATCCATTGTCCTATTAAAATTTCAAATAAAAATTTTAATTTTTTACATTTATTTTATTTTCAAAATTTATGTCAAAATTTTCTGCACTAATTATTTAGTCTCATTAGTTTTATAAAATGCACACGATGTGCACTCAAACAAAATTTTCAATTATTTTTGAAGCTTATATTTAAACCTAAAGCATCAAGGGCAAAAAAGACATTTGCAACCAAACGTAACATTAAAATGATGGAAAATGTAACGGTAGGGGCATGGAAGGGATCAAATTGAAATTTCAGGGGTATAGAAGGGATCGGGTAAATTTTAGTGGTATAAAAGGGATTGAGTGAGTTTTCAGGGGTACCCAGGGAATTTACTCTTTTTTTTTCCCTTTCATATAGCAAATCGGTAGGAGTCGGACTTTTTTTAAAAAAAATTTCGCTATTTTTTTTTGACCGGACCTGGAATCGGTAGAGTCGGACTTTTTTTTTATTTTTGGATCGGACTCTTTTTTCGCCCAGTTTTTTTCCCAAGGTTTTTTTTAGCCAGTTTTTTTTCGCTCTTTTTTTTTTATCGGACGTTTTTTTTTTCTCCCGGTTTTTTTCTTTTTTTGATCGGACTCTTTTTTTTCATCCGGTTTTTTTTCGTCTGGTTTTTTACGGATGATAAAAGCACCTCTTGTTTTTTTAAAAGTAAGCAGAGATTACGGCCAGTTGGACCTTCCCTTCTGGAACCATCCACGGCCTTCCAAACCCCTCCCGCCAACCCCCGTCTTCTCTCTCGAACCATCCGTCCCCAAAATCCGCCTTCTCCACTCTCCACCCTCGTCCTCGAGCTTCGTCGAACACTCTAGAACCTCCATAAATACCCACCTCCACCACACTATTATAACAACCTCGCCTCCCTTCCCTCGCTCTTCCCAAGTCACAGCTACGCACGCACGCACGCGCACCACGAACCAGCACGCGCACCACCCAATGGCGGACGACGCGTACGACGACCTCCCAATGGCCGGCGCGGAGGAGGAGGTGGACGACGTGATGAAGGACGAGCTCGACGAGGAGGGGGACTCCTCCTCCCCCGTGGCAATGAAGGTCGGGGAGGAGAAGGAGATCGGGAAGCAGGGGCTCAGGAAGAGGCTCCTCAAGGAAGGGGAAGGATGGGATCGCCCCGAATCCGGCGACGAGGTCCAAGGTTAGTAGGCGCCCACCATGCCTGTGATTCTTCATCCTCCCGTTGATTCGAATCACACGAATCCATTCAAGCACGCAGAGCGTTGAATAATTCGAATTTTTTTGTTTGTTTTTGTTTATTTCAGTTCACTACACCGGCACTCTCCTCGACGGAACCAAGTTCGATTCCAGCCGCGATCGTGGAACCCCCTTCAAATTCAGCCTCGGCCAAGGTGCGGATCGGATTCCCAATTTCCCCCCACATTTCGTCGCAATATTCACCATAGTTGAATTGAATTGCCGAATCGTACTGAATTTTTTTGAAAAATCTGCAGGGGAGGTGATCAAGGGGTGGGATGAGGGTATCAAGACGATGAAGAAGGGGGAGCAGGCGGTGTTCACCGTTCCGCCGGAGCTCGCCTACGGCGAGGCCGGCTCGCCGCCGGCGATCCCGCCCAACGCCACGCTGCGGTTCGACGTCGAGCTGCTCTCCTGGGCCAGCGTCAAGGACATCTGCAAGGACGGCGGAATCTTCAAGAAGGTGCTCGCCGAGGGACACAAGTGGGAGAATCCCAAGGACCTCGACGAGGTGCTCGGTACGTTTCAAAATTTTGTTCGAACGAAATCTCAAGTCGAAACGAGAATCAGGAGAAAATTTTCAAATGAGAAGACCATTTTAGCATTATTGTGATCATTTTAAATTCAGTTCAACACAGCAAATAGTAACATATGGGGTATGATGAATTTCTATGAAATTCAGGAAGATGGCAAGTTTCTGAAAATTTCAAATTGGAAGACTATTTTAGATTTTTGTTCTTCTCATTTTAAAGTCCGTGAAACAAAGTGAGACAGTAAGATAAGGGGCAGAAGGAATTTCTACAAAATTAAAGAAAAATATAGGCGAATTTCGAAATTGCATACACTGATTGGTGGTTTGGTAAATTGGTATCCATCAGTGAAAATTCTCTTATACTGAAATGGTTGCTAAACTTTTTTTTTGAAAGAATGGTTGCAAAACTTGTTCTCTATTTGCAGTCAAGTACGAAGCGAGGCTCGAAGACGGAACTGTGGTATCGAAATCTGACGGTGTTGAGTTTGCTGTCAAAGATGGTTTGTATCCCCTGCATCATTGAGCCTCTGCAATTCAGAATTTAACCCTGAAAAATGCCATGTCACTCTCCGATGAACATAATTCTGTTTATCTTCAGGCTATTTCTGCCCGGCGCTTTCAAAGGCTGTCAAGACGATGAAGAAGGGCGAGAAGGTCCTCCTCACTGTCAAGCCACAATGTGAGTCAATCGGAGTCCTCCTTTCAAGAGATTTTGCAACTAATCTATGTCTTTGGTGGTAATGTTCTGATGATCTTGGAAATGGCATTGTTGAGTGCTGACATGCACTTTTCTGATCTGTAGATGGCTTTGGTGAGCAAGGCAAACCAGCTTCTGGAGCTGAAGCTGCTGTGCCGCCAAATGCTACCCTGTACGTCGATCTTGAGTTGCTCTCCTGGAAGACGGTCACTCTGATCGGCGACGATAAGCGCATCCTGAAGAAAGTCCTCAAGGAAGGGGAGGGCTATGAGCGCCCTAACGATGGAGCAGTAGTTAGAGGTGTGTGCTGCTGCTGCTAATTCTTGCATTTGTTATGGTTCTATTGTACCTGCACACTTGCAATGTGTTCAAGAACATGGTTTGTTGTGCTTTTGCAGTGAGATTTATCGGCAAGTTGGAGGACGGCACTGTGTTTTCCAAGAAAGGGCATGATGGTGATGAGCCATTTGAGTTCAGGACAGATGAGGAGCAAGTCATCGAAGGGCTGGACAGAACTGTGGTCACCATGAAGAAAGGAGAGGTTGCATTGGTGAGATTACCACCTCAACATGCTTTCGGATCCACTGAGACTAAGCAGGATCTTGCTGTTGTTCCTGCAAACTCCACAGTCTGGTATGAAGTTGAGCTTGTCTCATTCGAGAAGGTAATCCATCAACTCCTCGTTGTTTGTTTACCTGTCTCTTGATTTTGGTTGAGCTGAAAGTGATTAAAAATTCTGGATTTCGCTCAGGAGAAAGAATCATGGGATTTGAAGGACAATGCTGAGAAGATTGAAGCAGCTGCCAAGAAGAAAGATGAAGGGAATGTGTGGTTCAAGATGGGCAAGTATGCTAAGGCCTCCAAGAGATACGAAAAGGTAAAAAATTAAAATCTGAACCTAAAATAAATTCTAAATTTATTTGCTTAATACTTCATATTTTTTGCTCTTGATTAGGCTGCGAAGTACATCGAGTATGACAGCTCCTTCACTGATGATGAGAAGAAGCAATCGAAAGCACTCAAGGTTAGTTGCAAGCTCAACAATGCTGCTTGCAAACTGAAGCTGAAGGAATACAGGGAAGCAGAGAAGCTCTGCACCAAGGTACTGTACGAGTTCTTGGTGTTTGTCTTGTTAATGTAGAGGTTCTTAACTGACAATGTAAAAACAAGAGTAAAATACACCAGCGGTCCTTAAACTTGTCAGCAGGTTTCACTTAGGTCCACGAACTTGTAAAGCGCACATCAAGGTCCCTAAACTTGGTTTATTGTATCATTCCGGTCCAAAGCCGTGTTTGACCGTGGTCTTGTCTACGTGGCACGTCACGTGGATGATGACATGGATTTTTTTTTATATTTTTTCTCCCTTATTCTTTCTCTTTTCTCTTTTATGAAAAGACGATGACATGGACGATGACGTGCATGAGGCATTTTCATCTTTTCGACAAGGAAGAAAGAGAAAAAAAGAAAGAAGAAGGGAGAAAAAATAAAAAAAATCTATGTCATCGTTCACTTGGCGTGCACGTAGGCAAGACCACGGTTAAACGCGGCTTTGGACCAGGATGATACAATAAACCAAGTTTAGGGCCCTTAATGTGCACTTTGCAAGTTCGTGGACCTAAGTGAAACCTGCTGACAAGTTTAAGGACCGCTGGTGTATTTTACTCAAAAAACAATGCTGTGCAGGTTTTGGAACTGGAGAGCACAAATGTAAAGGCCTTGTACAGAAGGACGCAGGCATACATTGAGCTTGCTGATCTGGAACTAGCAGAGTTGGATGTCAAGAAAGCACTGGAGATTGATCCTGACAACAGGTGAAGCTCAAGTTCATCAGAACATGTTAAATACCACCATATCTCCATAATTTGTGACTCACTGTTGCTGTTCTCTTCTCAGGGATGTGAAGATGGTGTATAAGACATTGAAGGAGAAGATCAAGGAGTACAACAAGAGAGACGCCAAGTTCTACGGCAACATGTTCGCGAAATGGAGGAAGCTGGAACACATGGAGAACAAGGTAGGTTAATCTGCCACTATTGAGCGTCTTCCGGCCACACTTACCTCAGCTCAGATGCGCTTGTTTCTCACCATTGTTGCTTGTTGAACTGCTGCAGAAGGTGCCTGGGAAGCAGGAGGCACAGCCTATGGCCATTGACAGTGCCGCTTGAGGATTAGCTCTGCTTTCTTTTTTCTGAACCTGGTTACTGCTAGTACTACTGTCTCTACTGGTTGTATGAGTATGAAATATGAATGGAAAATGGTAGTTAATTTGCCCTTTGCTTGATAGTTGCAGTCTTTGCAACTCTGCACCCATATGTGCTCAGCTTTGTACGAGAAGTGGTTGCCGTCATTTGAAGATGTGATGCTGTGATTGTATTGTGGTGTTAGAAGAGCAAAAATGCCATAACGACACTTTGGACTGCGCTACTAATGTTGTTCTTTCTTGTTTCTATTGCAATATGGTATAACATCTGTGCCTTGTACGCAGGACGTATGTCCCGACATTGTTTGTTTGTTTATGAGAAGATTGTGAGACTGAACTATGTTTTGTTCTCGAGGCAGTAGGCCACAGGTGACACGTAGAATGATTTACAGACATAATTTATGGGCTTGAAGATGAAGATAGGTTTACGCACAAACACAAGAATTAAGGAGGTTTGGACTTGTAATTCAGACATCATATGAAGATTTACAGTTCGGCTTATTTGAGCTTAGAAACAAAAAACAGTTTTATGAACTTATTTTAGCAGAGTACCGGAACGCACGAGCCGCAGTTTGGTTACCGATTCGAGTAGGGACTAATACAGAGAATTGAAACGTAATCCCACAACAGAAAACACCAAACGTCCTGACCTCTCGCCGGGAAGAAAGGTGATCGTAGCCGTAAATCGGTCGGCCGAAATCCACAATAATCCCAAATCTATTAAAAATCGGGACTAAAGAGGATTTTTAGGCTGTAAAATGGGTCAGGCTCGAAATGCCATGATAATGCCCCTAATGCCATTAAAAATCGGGACTAAAGATGATCTTTAGTTTCGATTGGTGGCTACAACGAACATATGCGATCTTTAGTCCCGTACGTATCAAGGGATTTGTGGCCGACTTATGGCTCGGTCGAACAACTGTTTCTACATGGGCTTAATTATAGCCATGAGTATTGATTATCAGGGCCATTAGGGGTAATAGGCCGAGGAGGCCGAATGGCACAGATTATACAAGTAATGGGCTGCTCCTCGTTCAGGTGGGCCTCAATTCCAGTCCATTAACATGTATGGGCTGGTATTTAAAACTAGGACAGCCCACACAAGTGGATGGGTCGGGAACCTGGATTTCGGTCCAATCCAAGTAGGGATAAGATGTGCCTAAAAATTACGGAAGACAGCACATGGACAAAGTGGAGAAGAGTGAATTGAACTTATGCCTATGTTTGGTTTCAATATGAGGTGGGATGTGTTAAGGTCCATCCATGCTTTTTAAGGATGAAATGGTTATATTTTTTATTTTGTTGAGGGGAAGGAACGAAATTTGTTTTTTTTTGAGAGATACAATATAATGCATTGTAATGACCATATTTTTATTGGATAGAGGAATGAAGGTGGGATACCGGATAGGGATGCCTCCTCATATTGAATTGGTGAGGTCTTATGAACGATACATGAATACATACATGTTAAAACAAAGAGAATTTTGATATCTTTTTTTCTAAAAAAAAGCCATATGATTTACATGAAAGAATAATATAAAAGCAGTAACTATATTTATAAGGGCATATTTTTAAGAAAAGAACAATTAATATGTTCATCATAAATTTCAATAATTATATTGTAAATTTCATATACTTATCACACTATAAGGCTAAAAATTACATTGTAAATTTTATGTATATACAGTGTATTAATCTAAAAATTACATTGTAAATCCACATCTTACAGCGGAAGAAAAAAAAAGATCAGATGGATAGAACTTGTCGCAGTGTGCATGCAAAAGAAATCGAACGGATGGAGACGAAACTGACTGACATCAGAAAAACCGACTGGAGAAGCGCGGCTAGGGCTACCGCACGGCACGCACGTGGGCCGCCCGTGCGCGAGCTGCCGAGGTGGGGATGGATTCAACCGCCACTTTTTTTCCCGGATGAGACTATCTCGAATATTGAAGGTATATACTCCCTCCATTTCAAAATGTTTGACACTATTGACTTTTTAGCACATATTTGACCGTTCGTCTTATTAAAAGAAATTTTGTGAAATATGTAAAACTATATGTGTACATAAAAGTATATTTAACAATAAATCAAATGATATGAAACAAATAAATAATTACTTAAATTTTTTGAATAAGACGAATGGTCAAACACGTACTATGGTGTCAAACATTTTGAAACGGAGGAAGTATTTTTTAGAACCATTCTGCTAGTTTCTCAACCAAATCATAAAGTTGATGTCCACGAGATACCTAAAGCTTAACGTGTAAGAATAGTATTTATTAGCACTTCTAAAATCTACGTGTAAGAATAGTATTTGTTAGCACTTCTAAAATCTACATGTAAGCACATGCTACATCAACTTATTAAGTACACAAAGCTTAACATTCAAGCATATAGTAATATATCTACAATTTATTTCATTTTAAAACTAAATATACGCTTGCTAAATCATCATTCTCAAATAATTTTTATAATATTTTGATGTAAATTATTTCATCATTTCTCCAATATCTAACATAATCCCGCGGCAAAGCATGAGACATCATTAGTATATACAAAAGTTGGGTATCATCCTCTTATTGCTATTAGTATAGCTACCAATTAATACATGATCTATCCTCTTATTACTCAAACACATCATCAGTAACTATAGTTATAATGATAGTATATTGTTATGATAGAGAATGTGAACTCCGTCCGTCCCCGCGTGCCTGTGCCCGTGTCCGGGCAGTGCATATGACCCGCGACGACGACGACGACACTTGCACAGTTCCATTCTCCTCCTCGATCCCTCTGCGGCTCTGCCGTCTTCATCCTCTAAATTTCCTTGGATTCGACCTCATCTCATCCGCGCTTGTAACCAGAGCCCGATCAGGTACATGCGCGCGTGGCTGCAGACCCGGGGGGATAAAGGCCATTAAACTCCATAAAAAAAACTCAATTCCTAAGTTTCCGTGTACTACGTTTGACTGTCCATCTTATATGAAATTTTTTTTATGATTACTATTTTTATTGTTGTTAGATAATAAAACAAGAATAATATTTTATACATGATTTATCTTTTTAATTTTTTTATAATTTTTTTAAATAAGACGGATGGTTAAATGTTAGACACATAAGCTTAAGAATCGAGTTATTTTAGGATGGATGGAGTACGTAGCACGCAACGCGCGGCGCGGGGCGCGGGCCGCGTGCGCGCATGTGTTTGCCCGCACGCCGTTCGGTGCTCGCTCGATCACGTTACGTACGATACGGCGGGCGCTGCACAAGCCAGATATTAGAGCAAGTTCAATAGTATAGCCAACCGTTAACTCTAAATTATCTATAGCTAATCTAATAGTCCATTAATATAATAATTATCTATAAAAATATACTACATTATTTATACCCGGTCCTACCTCTCATACACTCATAACGTATTAGAGTTCGTGTTGCAGCCGGCTATAAATTTATAGCCCACTTTATTCTCTCTCTTCTCTTTTTTTTTTAATATGTGGTTATAGCTAGTTTATAAACTGTTATTGTACCTTCTCTTATAGAGATCGATGCAGCTAGCTAGCAATAGTAGCGCGGCCGCCCGCCCGCCCGCGGGTTGGGTCGTGCATGCGCGGGCGCGCGAGCGGTCGGTCTCGCCACGTGATGCCGGCCCAATTTGCCACGTGAGGTATGCGTGGCGTTGTCATGTGCATCTGCATGGGACTGGGAGGGAGCCGCGTGGCATATGGGCGTGGGTCGCAGCCCGGCGGCCGCGCGCCGGCGGGCGGGCGTCGCTGTTGCCGATGTCCGCGCACATGGCGCCATGCACACGCCCACGGCGCGCGCGTGCATGCGCCGTGCGATGGACGACCTGGTCAAGCATGGCTGTTGCTGGCCCTGCACGAGGAGAGGAAAAGGAGGAAGCATCCTTGCACCTGCGCGCTCGTGGACTAAACAAAGAAATCTATAACTGAATATAATAAATTCTATCTATAATAAATATAGATAGAGATATATCCAAATTCGTATTACCAGAATGTGTCACATCTAATACTTATTGGTTTTTTATAGGAGCGGAGAAAGTACTTATTAATTGTGACTCACTAGTAGTACATGCACCTAGTTAACATAGCTAACTGCCACGTACTTACGTTATAGCACATGCATGCTTCTACGTGTATGCCACAATTAATTTCGATAAACACATACCCAACAAATACATATCACTACTTAAAAAAATATTTTTCATGGCGATATCCTATTTTTTCTACTGGCCATTTCCTCTATCCCATAATATAAGAGGTGCACATATTCTAAAATTTAATTTTAAAGACATTTGACCAACAATTATTATAATATAAATTAAATTTTATTTGCTAAAATTAATATCATTGGATTGACATTTAAATTTACTTTAAGATGGTTATAATTTTGTTGCAATAAACCTTATAGTATATGAAAAATTATAAGACAAAAAATAGTTTTGAAAACTATGTCAAGTTTGACTGTGTCTTATATTATAGGATGAAGGGAGTATATGAAATCTCCACTTGCAAAATTGTACCATGGAGGTGGTGGGTTTAGGACCGCCAGCGAAAACCCATTTCACGGGTGGTTGCTTAAGAAGTCCGCTTATAAAAATAACCCCTCTTAAACAAATGCGAGCAAAATATTCCCAACAATCATATCTTATTTGATAAGGGGCATAATAGTTTTTCTCCATTAATCTTAATCATCTTTGTTGAAACCCCTACAAATAATTATATTTTGAAACGAATAGGTAATGTGAGCAAAAATAAAACGCACCATCAGTGACACGATTCGAAGAAGCGACGGAACATAGATATATATATATTCTAAATTGCAAGCTTACAAATATCCCATCTTCTCGCTTAGAGCTGATTATAAACCGTAACTCTTGCTAGAAAAAAGCGGATAACTTTTGTATATGTATTCTTAGTGTATAAAAGCCAATGTTAGAAAATAAACTACGACGAAAGACATCAAAATCAACTCTAAAATTAATATTTGAAATTTAAATTTTGGTTGCAGCTGATTATAAACAAACTAATGTAAATAATGCAAATTTGATGTTAATAGATTTATCATTAAACAAACTATCATAATACGCTTTATTTAAAACATTTTCTTCTTATAGATATTATTGGTTAAAATAGCATCTCGAAGACGTGTCAAAGTTCAAAAATGCTTATAATTTTTGGACGGAGTGAGTATGTGATAGATCACTCAACAAACATACAATAAAATTTAGCATCTACATGTTGCAATGAAAAAATTCCTTTCCAATATATGTTAACAAGCTATTGTTGAATTTCTAATTAACAAGCTATTGTTGAATTTCTTTTTTACTTGTAGAAGTTAAATTTTAACATGTTTGTGGAGTGATATATCACATATAAATCTATCTTCTCATTTTTTAATTATTTTTCATAACTATTTAAATAACATGTAAATAATGAAGTGATGTCCATTCGAGAGTTTAAAATCAACTCCCGCGCAAGCACTGCTGAATCCTACCTGACTACAGAACATATGCTCTACAGTACATTTAGGCGCCGTCATTGTCTTGTAGCTAGGATACGCTGAGCAAAAACAGAGAAGAGAATAGAGACTGGCTTAAACTAACGAACTTCTTCAGATATCCATTTTCCTTCTTCTCTTCAGAATGTTCAGAGATGAACACTTGAACAGGATAATATATTCGCCGCTGAGTGAGATATTCAGAGTTAGATGACCATATATTGGCACACACAGTGGGCAACACATGAATATATGCATCGATCTAGTCAAAATTCGCATCAATCAAAGTTACCATGCTGCATTATGTTTAGTTCCACGCTAAAATTAAAAGTTTAAAGAAATTGGAACGATATCTGTGCAGAAAAATTCGATATGATGAAAAAGTTAGAAGTCTAGAGAAAAAAAAAGTTAGATTCTAAACAGAGCCTCCATCTGCTTGCATTCAGCTAGAGAGCTAACAACTGAAAATTCTATAGACAGAAAAACACAAACACACACACAAAAAAAGTCTTGTCATCTAGGCTAGTCTATGCTTCTTCTAGTCAGTTGCGATGTAGCATTGCGTAGCCGGCGCCGGCGGCCTGCAGTATATGCTCGTGCCTCGAACCGCCGCCGTCGACGACCATTGCTGCAAGTGCCTCGCCGAGAAAGCACAGCTTGGCTGCAGGCTGGAGGACACGGCGGACGACGAGCTCGCCGTGTCGTCGAGATCGTCGTCGCCGCCGCCGCAGTTGTGCTCGCGGTGGCGCAGCACGACTACAACCGCCGCGTCGACGACGCTGTGTTCGCCGGCGATGGCCCTCCTCTTCGACGACATCGACCGGGCCGTACAAGTGCTGTAGCCGCCGCCGACGCCGCTGCTACCGGAGTCGTCGTCGCCGTCGTCGTCGTCGTCGTGGCCGGTGTGGCAGCCGACGAGGTGATTCCGTTGCCGGCGTTGCTGCTGATGCCGATGCTGATGCCACACCTCGTCGTCGTCCTCGTCGCGCATGCGCGGCGGCGGGCCGGAGGAGGCGTCGGAGACCATGTCGTCGTCGTCGTCGTCGTCGTCGAGCTCGTGATTCTTGCGCGCGTAATACTGCCGGTGGCCGCCATTGGAGTGGTCGAGGTAGAGAGTCCACCCCGACTGGCACCCGCTGCTGCTCCGCGAGCTCGTCTCCATGAGAGCTTGAGCTTGAGAGCTTCTATCCTGCCTCTCTAGTCTCTACGACAAGCTAAGCTAGCTAGCTAAGGTGTAGGTGTACGTACGCGTGTACTGTACTAGTAGCTAGCTAGATCAGTGATGGAGGTAGAGTGGCGATCGATCGAGTATAAAAGAGGAGGGAGAGGAGTTGGGGATCTCGAGGAGTAGTGGAAATGGATCGTTGCCAGCTTGTGTTTTATGGGAGGCGCGTGCATATGCATATGGTTTGGTTGATGTCCACGGACATCGGGACAGACAGGGTGGGCACATGCGTGCGTGCGTGCGTGCGCGGCGCGACGGCCGACGCGAGCACCGCACGTGCACGCACCCCATGCGTCCGCGCAGTCCGGTGGACGAGGCCACTGGACACTGACCAGGTTTATCACTCTCCTCACTCCTCAGTAAAGCAGAAGGATCGGCTACCTATATAGAACCGGTGCATGCGTCTGTTTGGGGGAATTGTTATGGAGAAATGAGAGTTTGAGACCATTAAGTCTAGTATTTCGTTGGTGGACGTGAGAGTTTTAGGAGAGACTAGGACAAAGAGTTCAAGTGTAAACTCTCACTTTTTCAATACCGGGATATGACCACGTATTTGGAAGGGAATTTCTCTTATAAGTATGACGAGATAAATTTGAACTGTACATATGGGTGATAATTGATCCAAATTTTTGGTCTAAAAAACTATGAGGGCTACGTAAAAAAAGGATTTAACTGAAATTTAGTAGTTCTAATGCTCGAAATATTAAAGGGTTGAGATGGGCTATGAAAGGGACCATGGGCCTCAACCCATTATCATCCCTAACTATAAATGGCCAAACGGGCCACCCGGGCCGGGCCACCCACTTGCTAGATCAACGGCCAGGCACAGCCCAATAAGACTTGTGGGCCATGACGGGCTAGCCCAAAGGCATGAAAGCCTATTGTGCTCCTTCTTGGAAAAAGTCTATTTTACCTCCCTCATTTCTTTCGGCCATCTCTTATATGGCTGGAGTAAGTCTATTTTGCATCCCTCATCTCCTTCGGCCACCATACATGGCTGGAATTATTCTATTTTGGCTCCCTCGTCTATTGAGCTCCCTGATCTTTGGACTGTGTTGTGCCGGGCTGGCCCACCGCGCCGAGGCAGAGGCCCAGACATGGTCCAACGGTCGGGCCATGCCGGCATGTGCCCAACACCAATCGGGTTGTGGCTATCGGGCCTCAGGCCTTTTGGCCAACTATACCAACCCATAAATCATCACATAAAATTCAATTTATGGGATATTTCCCATGATTCTCATCTCTATGACTAAACAAAGCAAGAAGAGTAAATATGAAACTCACTCCAAAAGCGAATCCCTCCCCCAACTCCCAAAAAACCCTTTCCTTCTCTTACCAAACATGCTGAAAAAGTTTCATCTCACCCTCTTATGTTTTCTTTATCTTTTTAAAACCATACCCTCTTACATTTTCTAGAATATGGAATCTACTTTGAGATTCATGCAACCCTCACAGCCTCAACTCCCATCAATCCTTCGATTCCCTCAACGGTGCCAACAAGGCCCGCCAGACCTCCCTCCTTTCCTCCTCCTCAAGCCAGCGTGCATCAGCAAGGTGCCCCCTGCCACACTGGCTTTCCTTCCTCCCACCATTGGAGAAACGTCATCGGCGTCCCAGCCTTCAAACCACTCACTATACTATGCCCCTGCTCTTAACACCGGCCCATCACCTGCTGCCACTATCGCCTCACCACCCACCCGTTCCAATGCGCACCACTGAGCTACCGCCTCCCGCAACCATTCCTCTAAACTCAGGGAACGTCCTACTTCCAACCCCAACCTATAATTGGTTGAGCTATCCCACCATCTCGCTGGAGTTGGAAGAAAATGACGGCAGTTTGAATTGTGGCATGGATTCGCTAAAAATCTATCCCAAACTTTTTGTCAATTGAAGATTACCAATTACGTTAAAATAATGTACTACACGTGATGTTTATTTTGTAATATGCACAAAGATTGAAAATACTTATGCACCTGATCGAAGATGAAAATATCACTACTACAAAAAGCATTAAAGCTATTTTTGCGTGCGGTTGACCCGCCTGTCTGCCCAAAAGTATATACGAAAATCGCTATTTTTTTATGCGGGTGGTGCACCCGTACATAAAAATCCGATTTTCATGTGTGGGCTCTTATGTTGTCCGTACACAAAAATAAAAATAAAAATAAAAATAAAAATCCCCAAAAATAAGACCCTAGATAGGTGCGGATCCGTTGCCGCCGTCACCGGTGGATCTGCGCGGAGGATGATGCCATGTCAATGTCAATTGTTAAATTTTGCTTCATGTGCCATGTCAATGCCACGCCAGATGAAGAGTCAAATTAGCCACATAAACGCCATGTCAGCTGAAACCGCCGTCCAAACCGCCTTGCGGGACTTATTTTGCACCGGTTTTGATGGTTGAAAACCCATTGTATCTTGTTTTCTGGTTGAAGGACGAAAATCGGATTCGTTGACAAGTTAAAGGACTTTAGATGAACTTATTCCAATAATATATTGTATTGCTTATGAACTAGTTTTATACTACGTACATTGTGGATGTCGTTAGGACCAGTCCATCGTGGGGACCTATATTATGAAGGAATAAGTTCACCTGCCGTCCCTCAACTTTACGATGAGTTTATTTGACATCCCTAAATCCCAATACTGGAAATCTTCACCCCTAAACTATACAAAACAGTCCAATTTAGATCACATAGCACTATATATACCTGGTTTCGCTGACGTGGCATCATAGTCAGTAAATTTATTTTTTTAAAAAAATGTGGGACCCATATGGCAGCCTTTCTTTCTTCTCTTTTCTAGTTTTATTCCACGGCATGCATCGAGGAGGAGGTCGAGGGTGTCGTCCTCAGCGCCGGCTATGCGCGAGCGCGACAGCAGCAGCAGCCGGCCACCGGCTCGTCGGCTGCCTTTCCCCTCCCCCATCTCTTGCCGACCGCCTCTCCCTCTCCCACCCTCTCCACGCGTCGCGCCGATGGGAGAGGAGGAAGCGGCGGGGGTGTGGCAGGCGGAGGAGGAGGGGGAGCACCATTTCTGCCCGACGAGCTTGCTTGGCGCTGCCGAGGATTGGCTCGAGGAGGCCATCGCCAACGAGCTTCTCCGCTAACCACCGCCAGCCTAGACCGTCCCACTGGAGGGGGAGGAGAGGATGCCGGCTGGCTGCTGTTGAACCTGTATGAGCCGCTCTTGTGCATGCTCCACGCCTCTGCGCCCAACGGTTGGACCACCGCCGCCGTATGTCGCCACCATGGCCGACTCCGGCGACTCGTCGCCGCACTCTACCGCAGCCATCGACGACGAGCACCACCAGCTCTCGTACGCCAACGGCGAGACAAAGATCCTTTCGCTCAAGAGGCCACTCCGCTTCGCCAATTTCACCACGCGGTTGGTCGGCCGGCGGCTGCCGCTCGCTTGTACGTCGTCGTCGTCGGGTGTGGCGGCTGCCATGCTCGCCTGCCGCTCGCGTGTGCGTTGTCGTCGTCGTCGGGTGCGGCGGCGGAGCCTCTCGAGTTGGAGCTCGGCCGGGCTTGCCGGCCGCCTCTCCCCTCTCAGCCGCCGGTGAAGAGAAGAGAAGAGAGGAAAGTAAAAAGAAGAGAGGAAAAGAAAAGAGAAAAAGAAGATAGGCATACCCCATATTTTTTTCCTTTCTTACTTACATGTGGGCCCTGTAACTTTTTTATTTTTTATTTTGCTGACTAGGATGCCACGTCAGCGGGCCGAAATTGGACTATTTTATATAGTTTAGGGGTGAAGATTTCTGGTATTGGAGATTAGGGAACTTAGACAGACTTGATGTAAAGTTAAAGAACGGTATGTGAACTTATTCCAATTCTAAACAGGCCTGTACGTTTTGCCACTTTGGGCCCATTAACTTCGGAAGGACTACATAGCGTTGTCACTTTGGATCCAAAACCAATGGGCCTTCAAACAAAAAAACTTTTTCGTTGGGTCTTTTATGTCTTAAACATATATCAGATTTGTGCACCACGAATTGATGTTTGGTTGTAGTTTATTTTTGAAGAGATGTATGCAAATATTTATCTGTAACCTATTTAGATGAACATATCTAAATTTTATTTTATACCAATTTGGTTCGACATGGTTTGAATAAAAACATAAATATATCAGTAATTTATTTGATACAAACCATGTGAAGAATATAGCTATATTTTATTTTATACAAACCAAATCCACAAATTATAAATAGTAAATCATGGGAGGGAATTAGAATTAATTAGAACCGACAATTCAACAGTACGTGTCACACGCTGCTTATTCTGTCCCGGCAAAACAGTCAGAGACGCTGCACTACAAGCCGTGTAGAACCGTTCAGCATCATGGTCCTTGACATGTATTGTTTGTAATATCATTTTTTCGACGAATTCAAGTGTCAAACTTTTTGACTTTACAAGGACACCTCAAAAGGTCAGCAGTTTTGGTTGTTGGCAAATGACCAACAACCACAGGGGTTCAGACTTTCAGGTCAATTTGTTTCTTTCCTAAAGAACATCTTTGCGGTCATTTTCATTTTTTTTTTCGTCGTCGCATTTCCAAACTTTTTTTGAGAACAGCATTTCCAAACTTGAAGAGCAACATAATGGGAGAAAAAGATTACAGGAAAGCTGCTTCTATCTTTTCAGAAGAGAAGTCGTTATTATTATTTTTCTTTTTGCAGGTAGAAGAGAAGTTAACTGTAGTGAATTGTGATCCAATTCAATTATGAAATTGCAGAGCGATATTTTAAACAAACTCGATCGATCAAAGACGAAATGACATGTACGGAATTGAAACAGAGTGACATTTAGCTGTCAAGAGCAGTTTGTTCTCTGACATCGGAATGAGAAACAACATAAACGAACATTTTCGAACAAAATGAATGAATCAATTCAATTCATGTAATCATGTCCCTATCATCAAAACCATCACAATACACCTTTGATTTTCTTCTCAAGATGTCAAAAAACAAAATGTACAGATAAAAATCGAAGCACAGACTCGAGAAATTTGCCTCAAATCTCTGCATCTTTCCTACCCTATACCTCCAAATTGATCAAGAAACAAATCATCCAGAAATTAATTTCTGTACACCACCGTATGTGCATCATCTCTCTTGTTCTACCACACATGCTGGTAGCTGACTACACCCTGCTCAGTTAGCAGCAGTGTGTGGGAGAGTTGCCCCCAGACTTGAGCTCGCCGAGCATGTCGACCACCATGCCGATCCCGTCCTCCAGCCACCCTTCCCCCTTCATCGTCCTCGCCGAGACGGCCATGGCGCCCAAGATCTGCACCAGCAGCAGCACCGCCACCACCGCCCTCGCCATCGCCATCGCCCTCGCTGCTGTCATCGCCATTGATATATATCGGACAGAAATTAACGATCGATGAGAAGAGAGAGATCAACAGGGATGATCTTGATTGGTTGCTGTCGAGCTTGAGTTGGGTTCTTCAGAAGTTCAGAATAGCTTTCGTTGTTCTTGATTGGTTTTGCTGCTTGATGAGCTGAAGAATTCTGGATGAATTGGTGAGATATATATATAGGTGA